CGCCGCGCCGGGGAGGGGAAATACGGAAAAAAAAGCAGGCAGGTCAGGAGCAGGGAAGTTGCTGGTGGTCCCTCTTCCAGCCCCGAGCCCCGTCCCGTTCCCGCCGCTTGCTCGCCCGTGGGGGCTGCGGGCTCTTTTTTTCACCTCCTGTCTGTTTTTAGCTGCCAAGCTGTCCATCTGCAGGGTGGGGGGTGTATTATTTATTTACTTATTTATTTTGGAGGGGAACAAGTATGCTTGCGATATATTTAGTTGAGATATATTCAGTTTCAGCCCACTGAAAAAGGAGGTTGGTGTTCGGCAGTGGCATGGAAAGCAGTGTGTCTTGGACAAAAAAGCATAATCTTATTAATATCTTTTTTTTTTTCCAAAATGCTACCATAAAGTATTCATCAAGCTGACATGAATTAACAGGTAACAGCAAAAAAGGTCAATGAGTTGTAAGGAGAAGCTCAATCATGTTGAAATTATTTTGCTAAAAGAGTTTGATTACCGCCTATAATACATTGACTTTTTACTAAAATGCTGAAGTTTTCAGTGCTAACAGGCCAAATGCTTCAATATGAACAACCAGGATTTCATTTTAACTGTTGATGGTGAAATGCTTGCTGTTTATCAGTAGAAAATGTGGTTTTCTCAATAACTATATTTTGAAGATCAATATTTAGTGATAAAATGTGCTTAAATTTAATAACATGACTCGTTACAGAAGCCACCGGTATGTGTACCAAAGATTGCCAGCATCCAAGATAGGGTGGACACGTTCTCTTTGAGAGCACTGGTTCTCAAATTCATCACTGCCATAATTTACTACTTAGGTGTTAATGATACAAATTTTTCTAGATGAAGGGTTTTTTTTTATCCTTATGAACTGTCACTGCCTAGCCTAGTGACAGAAGAACGTTGGAATAGCGTGGCGCTCAGCTTTCTCTAGATACCGGAGCACTTTTGTTTGTTTGTGCAGGCGTACCCATGGCAGAGTTTTAGCCAACTAAAACTATGTCAGGTGTCTGTGAAATGCAGTTACATCATCCACATGATAGACCTTAACTAGGGGAAACTAGTGAATATCTTCCAGTAATGTTAAATCACAAAGCCAAGTTTAGATGTAATTAGGTATTGATCAACTTCAGCTTGTGGGTTTGCCTGGCAGTCTTAAAAATGTTGAGCACATGCTTTCTTTAAAACCCTTTTGATAATCATCTTAAAGCTTGATTTAATGGCCCATCTGGGGAGCATATTTTGTTCTCTGATGGCTAGTGTTGTAAAGTGGGAGTTTTTTGACATAATCCATGTGTACTCATCTAAATTCAACATATGTTAAAACTAACTGTTGAACAGTATTTTAAAATGTCTGATTTTTTTTTTTTTTTGCTATTATAACATGTTTAGATACTTTCATGCAGAAAAACTAAATTGGGTTATATCCATTTTTATGGACGCAAAGCAATACAGGTTGAAAACAATGTCCATTATAAATATATGCAAATGGCAAGTAGCGGCAATCTGCTTTGAGCTAAAGGCTTTTCCAAAGAAAAAGAGGGCATTAGTGGCATTCCCTGCGGAGGCTGCTAAAGACCATTTAGCAGAGTTTCGGCGTGCTTGAAGTGTGAGGTATAACTGCACTAAGCCAAGACAAAAATCCATTTTCAGCTTTAGCAGGTTGGTTTGTAACCGTTTCTGACAGCGCTTCCAGTGTAGCCTTTATGACCTTGCAAAAGTTGACTTTTTTTTATAAAAATGCTGCTGCTGTTGTAAACCGATTCAGGTAGCTTGGAGGTAGCAATGTGGACAGAATTTGCAAGAGGAGCTATCAGATCCCTGCAACTAAGAAAAACTTGTAGGTGACGCAGGTGCAGTTTTCAGAAGTACCCAAGTCTTAACATTGAAAGTTTTTGACATTTAGCAGCCTAATTCCTTTGACTGCCAGTGGGTGTTAAGCTCTTAAATCCTTGCTTCTGGAGTAATTGAGTGTCTTTGGAATTCTTACCTAGGGTTCACACCAAGGACTTCTCCCACCATACTAGATAATACTAGGGTGTTTCAGTTCTTGATTTATTTATTTTTATTTTTCCTTTCCCTGAAGCCTAGCATATTAATAATAATAAATAGTATGCAGAATCTTGATGTGATCTTTACATCTGCTACAGTTGGAAATAATGGGGCGTTTTGATATCCACTGGTCACTGATCATTCTCACTTTTAATTCCCTCTGCTGCTCTTGGTGAGGAATTGTGATGGAAAAAATGGTGGTTTGAACAAGGTTTAATGGTTTTAGTGTCAAACCACATAAATAAAGGTGTAATGTAGAGATAGGTTATTTATACTTCAATCATTGCACCTTCCTGTATTCAGAGGCGTTATTTTCAGTGATTAATGTGTGCATTTGTGTTTTGCTTGTATGTCCAAAACCTGAGTGTTTCAATCTTCCATACATATGTATAAAATCCTTCTCTGGGAAAGCAACCTATTTGTGCAAGTGAGTGCTTGTTTTAACAAAACTGGGGACACAGTATTCTGCAGAAAGCACTTTTCGTTATGCCTAACTAAATCACATTTATAGTGGCTGTAAAATTTGCATTTAAGTGTGTGCGTTTAATGGACAGAGGGGATAGATGTAAGAGATTAGTGTATTTAATTTTTTATACTTCTACTCTGTGTTATGAAAATATGGTTCTGTATGTCTGACAAAATGTAACTTCTGCGTACAGTGTTTTATTAGGTTAGAATTTGGTCAGTTACATTTACAGGGACACTCAGATTTGCTTTGAGGAAAGTAGAATGAACAAATACTTTGTCATTTGTAAACATGGGAACTTTCTAGTTCTTTCTCAGCTTCTCAAATGAGTTATTAAGAAAGAGCAGTAAAGGAAAGCCAAAATCCGCCTTTCGGCTGAAGTGCTGGAGTTGGTCTTGTGAACATTTCTTCCTAGAGGAGTGTGTTTCTATCCCTAGAAAGTGCATAGAAGCCTACATAGAAAATGCAGACATTCTTCCATTCAGGGCACGCTTTCAGGAGTGCTGATTTTGGGGTAGATTTTTAAAGCAAACAAGATGTGAGCCAAATGCATATATTTCATAACTTTATTCTCAGCAGCCTGTGCGTTTAGACTTTGTTGCTTCCTTTTGTGACTATGAGTTTTAGATGCCCTGAGGAAAAAAGTTCTTGTTCAGCACGAAAAAGCAGTCTGGAACAGGGTTTTCAGACCTTTATTACATCTGCAGAATAAAGATGAGAAACCAGTGTTCCAAGAAAATGTTTTTCCAGTCACAGAGAGTAGACTGTGTAATGCATTATGTGCTAAAAGGGAAGAAATGTCAGGCTAATAAGGATCAGTGTATCTCTTTTTTAGGTCTTTTCAGCAGAGAATTTTACTTCCAGTGCTGCGTTACACTGGTCAGCTATAGGATGAGCAGGACAGTGGGGAGCATTAACTTAGATTTTTTTTCCTCCCCGCTTTATTGTTTAAACACTGATTTTATTTTTTTCTTCCAGTTTTCTGATAGAACAGTTTATGCTACATGTCTTCCTTAGAATCAAATACACTGTCATGATTTGCATGGATGGAAAAAATCTCTCTCTGAATTTTGCACTTTTATTGGAAGTATATATATATAAAGAAAAAGTTATTGCCTTTTGGGAAATTGGCTGTAGCATTAGAGTGGTACACAGAATGATATCTAAGATTGCAAGTGCATGTGCGGGAGAAATGAGATAGCTGTACTTTAGAAAAAAAAAAGACTTAGTTGGAGAGATTTAATTTTGTATTTCTTTTTAATATTTAAACTACCTTTTGACTGAAGACATTAGCTATAGATGGGAATATTTTCAGTAGTTTATTATTGTATGCCTTTAGTGGTCTAGTTCCAAGTCACTGTATTATTTTAACCTCTTCATGTTTATACACTGGCCATATGTTTTTGTGATTCAGATAAAAATATATAGTATATGGCTTTAGGCCAACAAGGGATATTTATGGTTTTTATTTAAAGGGAGAGGACAAATCGCTTCTCTGTCTTCAATCGCAGGTTTCTGAAGTTTCATTACCTAGTGGCGTGGAGTAGTCTCCTCACTTTTTTTAGCTCTGCTTAAGAATTTAATTAAATGGTCCCTGATATTTGTGAGGCAAAATATGTTGTCATTGGAGACTGAAGGCTAACTCTATTTGCATAATAATATAGTTAAAAAATATATAAGGAGAGAGGTGAACAGAGGGATGAAGTGCCCAACCCCCCACTTTTTTAGCATGCTGCAATTGTAATTTTGGAGTTAGCCACTTTATGTTGACAGTGTAGAGTTTTGTGGGACTTCTGGTTTCAATGTATTTTTGCATAAAAGCCATTTTTAGCAAGATGTGAAAATTGGAATCCCTGCCTGCCACATTACTTATTTGTCTTGGCAGATTAAAAACTTTAAATGGTTCTTATTTCTGAATTTATCTTGTTATATTACTATTTAATCAAAGTTAAATGAGTGATTGAAAAAAAAAAAAAACAGAAAAATGCAATCTCTTAAGTAAAGCACCTTTATAATGTTTTTTGATTTTGTGTATAGATGTATATATATAGATGGGTTTTTATCTTTTCCTTAAATATGCTCTAAATGTTTCCTTCAGGGTATTTACTATGGTACAGTTTACTGTACTATTTACTACAGTTTGTCTCTGCCCATCTTCACTTGCCTGTTTAAGGCCTTCTAGAGGTATACTATATAAAAGTTAATTTCTCTCTTACTTGCAGAGTACTTATCTTTTTCTTAAGTTACTCATGGAATCGTTATGGTTGAAAAAGAAGTTCAGGATCTTCGAGTCCAACCGTAAGCCCATTCCCACCGTGGCTGCTAAACCGTGTCCCTGAGCGCCTCACCTACATGTTCCTTGAACTCCGCCAGGGATAGTGGCTCCAGCCCTTACCCAGGCAGCCCGTTCCCGTGCTTCACCACTCTTCTCGCACGGAAATGTGTGATGCCCCACACCTAGTGTCGCTTAGTCCAAGCCCCCAGGGTGCCCTTGGAGCTTCCTGGTGCTGTTCCTTTATACAGAAGCTGCGTTCAAGAAGCTTCTTCCTTAAGATACTGTCACCTGTGTGAGCCGTATGATGGGGCCATTACTCCCAGATAATAATAGGTGCTGCTGCCTCATTTCTGACATTCTTTTCATCTCTATTCATCTGTTGCTGCATTTTCCTGTTCCTGTGCTTGCATGTACTAGCTCTCCTCATGTTGCCTTCTTGCCGGTTATCTTGGAAGTGCAGCCGAGGGGAACTTCTCCGCTGGGCCGACAGAGAGTCCCCAGGGATCTTTGATCCCCCTTGGCTGATTTCAAGCAAAACTGTCTTGGATTATGTCAGGTTACTGTGTATCTTATGGAAATGGGTGGCCTGTGACTGCCAGGCAAGTGACTGCTAAATCTCCTAAAGAGGAAATGCTGAAGTAGGAGCTCAACTATTATTAGACATCAGAGAGCTGGGGGTGGGAGGGAGATGTTAAAAGTGCTTGAATGCAAGAAAAGCTAGTGTTAGCACTTACCTTTTTCTTGATACCAAAAAAAATCTATTAGCAAAATTTTGAAAAAAACCAGACGTTGTTGCTTCCGCTTCAGCTAGTTTCTTGCTCCGCTTTGAGGCGGGAAGAGTTAGAGAAGTGGCTCTTCCTTTGCCTGGCAATAAAGCGACTGGGGTGTTGGGTTTGTTCTGTTGCTGCCCCTCCCGCTTTTGGGAATTAGATTTTTGTTATAAAGCCCTGATTTTCTGGAGAGCGTGTGCCCGATGTGAGCTCTCTCGCACGCCAAGCCTGACAGCGGGCTTGGAAAGCACGGGAGCAGCGGGGAGCGGCTGCCAGCACCCACTCGCCGCCTCGGCCTGCATGGGCGAAAGGGCAGCTCTGCCTCCGTTCTCCATGATGCGCAGGCTGTGTTAAGGCTGCGGATGATTGTCTCCTTAGGGAGTCTCCCGTGCAAATGGCAGCAGCCACTGAAGCTATGAAACCCGGAGCGCCAACCTGGAACCGTTTCGGTGTCACTTGCTCTCTTACGGTTCCATAGCTTTGGAAGTTAAGTGTCTTAAATGTGCTAATGTTAATATTATTTGATCTCTCTTATACAAGTTCCCAGTTACACTACATAACTCTCTTAAATTGCTATCAGTTATAGGAAAATCAGAGTGTAAAGTGTTTAAATACACAAATAACTGCTCAGGTGAGCGTTGAGGTGTAACTTAGCTTAAACAAAAATGGTAGAGCCAATTCTTATAGCTAATTACTGCCCAGAGGTGTCCAGCTTGCTGTCCTTTCTTGCCTGTGTTCAAACATGCGATGTCCTGCCCTTGAGCAGTTTCTCAGTGGTTGTCTTTACAGAATACTTCCTTCACTTTATCAGTGTAGGGTTCTGCAACATTTTTCATTTATTTATTTACAATTAAGCTGCAGTTTGCACTTTGAAAGCATTATCCATCTGAAAAAAATGTTCTAATACTTAATATGCAGTTAAGCTTGACTAAGTCCAGGATACAGTAGGGAGTATTGTGATCTAATCTTTTCAGTGCTTTCTATGAACTTTAGTATTTTGTGTTTTATAAATCTCAATACCCAAAAATTTCCACAATGGGCAGAAAAAAATAGACTATATTGTTTTACAGAAAACTGTAGCACAAGAAATTAACATTTTGAAAGTGGAGAATACTTTCTTAGAAATAACTTGCAAATAAATCGATGTGTTGTAAAACTTGAGTAAAACTTAGTTTGGGTAAAGACCTACTGGTGCTTGTTTCTGAAGTTAAGGAGCTTCTGTTTTCTTTCTGATGCCTTTAAAGTTCCAAGATGGGTGTTTTCCTGTTATCTCCTGAGATAACTCTTTAGAAGAAGTTAGAAGCAGTTGGGAAAGGTGTGGGGGAGAATTATGACCAACTTTTAGCTGAATAGTCATTATCTAACCAGCAGCTAGCTTGAAGTGCTAAATCAGTTTGTCATGATCTTGTACTTAACTCTTGTTCATTACCCTTTTCTTTAAAAGCAGAAGATTTTGGGGTGGAGAAATATTTGTACTTTGTATTTTAAGTTTTTTCTTAAGTTGATTTTTTTTAAGGCAGAAAACAAAAGGTGAAAATTCTTGTGTTAGTGAAAGTAATTTTGATTTGGATTTATCTGGTCAGGAAGGACTTGTATTGTATTTGCTCTTAGAAATAACAATTTATTTTTATTTTTATTTTATTTTTCCCCCAGGTGATTCATGGCAGGGGACGTGGAAGGGTTTAGCTCCTCCATCCATGACACCAGTGTCTCTGCTGGATTCAGAGCACTGTATGAGGAGGGATTGCTTCTTGATGTCACACTTGTCATTGAAGACCACCAGTTTCAGGCCCATAAAGCCCTGCTTGCCACCCAGAGTGATTACTTCAGGATTATGTTCACAGCTGACATGCGAGAACGAGATCAGGACAAAATCCATTTGAAAGGTCTGACAGCTACAGGCTTCAGTCATGTCCTCCAATTCATGTACTATGGAACTATTGAACTGAGTATGAACACTGTTCATGAAATCCTTCAGGCTGCCATGTATGTCCAGCTGATAGAGGTGGTAAAATTTTGCTGCTCTTTTCTCTTAGCTAAGATCTGCTTAGAAAACTGTGCAGAAATTATGAGACTTTTGGATGATTTTGGTGTAAACATCGAAGGAGTCAGGGAAAAATTGGACTCCTTTCTTCTAGAGAATTTTGTGCCGCTCATGTCCAGACCTGACTTTCTTTCCTATCTGAGCTTTGAAAAGCTCATGACTTACTTGGATAACGATCACCTGAGCAGGTTTCCAGAGATAGAGCTCTATGAAGCCGTTCAGGCTTGGCTGCGCCATGATAGAAGACGCTGGAGGCATACGGACACCATCATTCAGAACATCAGGTTTTGTTTGATGACACCATCCAGTGTTTTTGAGAAGGTTGGTGCATTTGAAAAGCAGTAGACAGGATTCATCATTTAGCTAGGGCAGCATGCCGTTAAATAGGTAAGATTCCCAAGCCTGTTAGGAGCGACAAAAAGACAGCATTTATTTTTCTAGCCTATCTGTAGAAGATGAACATCCCAAGGTCATGTCATCTAAATGTTAGAAAATAGTACGTAGAGTGACTGGAGAGCAGGTAGGTTTGCGTACGTGCTTTTAAATGACTTCTTATAGAAAGGACCTTTTAAAATAAGGTCACCTGCATAAAGTTTTATTTCAGTCAT